CTGTCTCCTCTGCAAGTCTTTCTCCTTAACAATTACAAACAGCTGAGTACAGGTAGGAAGAGCGTCTGTCTCATGCTCAACAGACGGAGGATCGAGCCTCCACTACGTCTTGCGCTAAATGACCCACATGGGTTTAGAGATTAACATAAACTATTATAAATATATTATTACTCCTTAATGATCAATCTGGTGTCATCCCTTTTCATGAGGTGTCACGAGGTGTCATGAGATGTCATGAGGTGTCACGAGGTGTCATGAGATGTCATGAGGTGTCAAGGCTAACCCAGACGGGTCAGTCTTGTTACTTTGTTAAGGTTAACCTTGCTACTTTGTTAACGTTAACCTTGCTATTTTGTTAAGGTTAACCTTGCTACTTTGTTAACGTTAACCTTGCTATTTTGTTAAGGTTAACCTTGCTACTTTTTTAAACGTTAACCTTGCTACTTTGTTAAGGTTAACCTTGCTACTTTGTTAAGGTTAACCTTGCTACATTGTTAATGTTAACCTTGATACTTTGTTATGGTTAACCTTGCTACATTGTTAATGTTAACCTTGCTACTTGTTAAGGTTAACCTTGTTACATTGTTAATATTAACCTGCTACATTGTTAAGGTTAACCTTGTTACATTGTTAAAGTTAACCTTGTTACATTGTTAAGTTTAACCTTGCTACATTGTTAAGGTTAACCTTGTTACATTGTAAAAGTTAACCTTGTTACATTGTTGAGGTTAACCTTGTTACATTGTTAAGGTTAACCTTGCTACTTTGTTAAGGTTAACCTTGCTACTTTGTTATGGTTAACCTTGCTACATTGTTAAGATTAACCTTGCTACATTACTTAGGTTAACCTTGCTACATTACATAGGTAAACTCTGCTACATTACTTAGGTTAACTCTGCTACATAGGTTAACTCTGCTACATTACTTAGGTTAACTCTGCTACATTACTTAGGTTAACTCTACTACAGTACTTAGGTTAACTCTGCTACATTACTTAGGTACACTCTGCTACATTACTTAGGTTAACTCTGCTACATTACTTAGGTAAACTCTGCTACATTACTTAGGTAAACTCTGCTACATTACTTAGGTTAACTCTACTACATAGGTTAACTCTGCTACATTACTTAGGTTAACTCTGCTACATTACTTAGGTTAACTCTGCTACATTGCTTAGGTTAACTCTGCTACATTACTTAGGTAAACTCTGCTACATTACTTAGGTAAACTCTGCTACATTACTTAGGTTAACTCTGCTACATAGGTTAACTCTGCTACATTACTTAGGTTAACTCTGCTACATTACTTAGGTTAACTTTGCTACATTACTTAGGTTAACTCTGCTACATTACTTAGGTTAACTATACTACAGTACTTAGGTTAACTCTGCTACATTACTTAGGTAAACTCTGCTACATTACTTAGGTTAACTCTGCTACATTACTTAGGTAAACTCTGCTACATTACTTAGGTAAACTCTGCTACATTACTTAGGTTAACTCTGCTACATTACTTAGGTAAACTCTGCTACATTACTTAGGTAAACTCTGCTACATTACTTAGGTTAACTCTGCTACATAGGTTAACTCTGCTACATTACTTAGGTTAACTCTGCTACATTACTTAGGTTAACTCTGCTACATTACTTAGGTTAACTCTACTACATTACTTAGGTAAACTCTGCTACATTACTTAGGTAAACTCTGCTACATTACTTAGGTTAACTCTGCTACATTACTTAGGTTAACTCTGCTACATTACTTAGGTTAACTCTGCTACAGTACTTAGGTTAACTCTGCTACATTACTTAGGTTAACTCTGCTACATTACTTAGGTTAACTTTGCTACATTACTTAGGTTAACTCTGCTACATTACTTAGGTTAACTCTGCTACATTACTTAGGTTAACTTTGCTACATTACTTAGGTTAACTCTGCTACATTACTTAGGTTAACTCTGCTACATGACTTAGGTTAACTCTGCTACATTACTTAGGTTAATTCTGCTACAATACTTAGGTTAACCTTGCTACATTACTTAGGTGAACTTTGCTACATTACTTAGGTTAACTTTGCTACATTACTTAGGTTAACTCTGCTACATTACTTAGGTTAACTTTGCTACATTACTTAGGTTAACTCTGCTACATTACTTAGGTTAACTTTGCTACATTACTTAGGTTAACTTTGCTACATTACTTAGGTTAACTCTGCTACATTACTTAGGTTAACTCTGCTACATTACTTAGGTTAACCTTGCTACATTACTTAGGTTAACTCTGCTACATTACTTAGGTTAACTCTGCTACAGTACTTTAGGTTAACTCTGCTACATTACTTAGGTTAACTCTGCTACATTACTTAGGTTAACTCTGCTACAGTACTTAGGTTAACTCTGCTACATTACTTAGGTTAACTCTGCTACAGTACTTAGATTAACTCTGCTACATTTCTTAGGTTAACTCTGCTACATTACTTAGGTTAACTTTGCTACATTACTTAGGTTAACTCTGCTACATTACTTAGGTTAACTCTGCTACATTACTTAGGTTAACTCTGCTACAGTACTTAGGTTAACTCTGCTACATTACTTAGGTTAACTCTGCTACATTACTTAGGTTAACTCTGCTAAATTACTTAGGTTAACTCTGCTACATTACTTAGGTTAACTTTGCTACATTACTTGGCTTAATTCTGCTACATTACTTA